CATTGAGATGATGTGTCTTAATAATTTATGAGATGGTATCTTAAATTGGCATTTCATCAAATTCAATGAGATCCCATAATAGCTACAGTAATTCAAACACTTATCAAGATATTCTAAATGATTGGCCTTCATACTAAATATACAAAAATCATCTAAAAATATATCCATTGAATGTCATAAATAATCTTGAAAAGCTTGTATCATTAACCTTTGAAACGTGGCTGGGACATTACAAAATCCAAATAACATAACTTTATAAACAGAGGTCCTTCAATCCATAGTGAAAGTAGTCTTTAACTGGTCTTCTTTTACAATTTTAACTTGATTGTAATCCAAAATCCATCCAAAAAAGAATAACATTCATGTCCAGCTAATACATCCAAGATACTATTCGTAAAAGGTAAAGAAAAATTATCCTTCTTGATAGCCACATTTAATTTATAAAAAATTTCATAGATTCGGATTTTTTCATTCTTCTTTGGTACCATTATAATTAGTAAAATCTAGTCACTATATGAAACTAGATCAATAAAATCCACATTAAGAAGTTTGTCTAATTCCTCTTTCACAATAAGAGAATATTTTGGATTGAGTCGATGTTGTCTTCGATAAATTGGTGTAGCATTCTCCTCTAAAATAATTCAATGCTCACAAACTTCAATAGGAATGCCTTTCAAATCCACATATGACCATGCAAAAGAAGATTTATAATTTAGAAAGAAAGCCTTCTAATTTGTTAACTTGATATCTATAATCCCATTGTACACTTATATAACCTTCAAGGTTTTATTGGTGCCTAAGTTGATGGATTGGCATATAGGTTCCTTGACAACATCTGATTTGATTTTTCTCTCTAGTGCATAATCTTTCATATAATCTAACAAATTAAAACTACTCAATTTTGATTCCAATATATTAACTTCATTAACCACAAAATAATTCATCTAATCAATAATAGCATGATCAAAGTTCGTTGTATCCTCTAGATATACTAAATATTTTTTGGATCCTCCACATTGGTATAACATGCCTTCTTTTTGCACATGAAGTGGGTTATCACCAACTTGCATTGTATTGATAACTTCATCATATTCTGCATCAAATTGACCCTCATTATCAGATATTGCCTTTGAATCCTAAATTTGAGATTCTCTATGATATTGAACTAGATACATTCGTAATACAATCTTTTCTTTTTCTTTCTCAATAGTCAACATTCCCTGGCCTCAATCATTCCTAGCTTTGGCTTGATGTAGCTACAATCAACCCAATAAGATTAGATAGGATTATGTGGAATTTTATAATTGAAAAATAATATAATCAATCTAGTATATGATTCCTGTGATTATAGTGTTAATATTGACTAAGATATCCATTGGTTTTATCCGACTATGATTTGTCATTCTCAACATTGATGTCATAAGTAATAATTATTTTAAGTCCAAGTCTTCCATTGTATTGGCATTCATTAGATTCAGACTAGAGCCACCATCTACTTGAACTCTGGAAATAAAAACACCATCAATGGATACATCAATAGTTGGTGCTCCCGGATCGGGATTTAAACTAACTTCATAAATTTCTCTATTATGAGACCTACATCTTATTAATGAGGAATTCAATGTAGAACTACATTCCAAAGCTACTGCCAAAAATTGCTTCATTATAATATAAGACTAAATTGCATCAAAATCTTTCAAAATATCATATGGTTTGATATTGGTAGTGATTTCTAGGGCCCCTTTTTTTTCATGGTTTTCAATTCAATTCCTTGAAATAATATATCTTTCTTTATTGAATTTGGATGTGAAATAGCTCAATGAATATTTTTGAAATATCCATCTATGAGAAGATTTTTTAATGCATAAAATAGCTCTTGGAACTTCATAGATAATGGTATTGATTTAAGTTGAACCAATACCTCGATATTAGAAATATCATTGGATTACGTTGCCATGTTATGACACAATTATATTGTAAAAATATGACTAAAAATGATTTTTGAACTAATACTCTATTATATTAGTTCAACAAAAATTCAAAATATTTTAATAAGGCTTTTATAAAAGCATGTTAGCATATTTTCTTGTCTTAATAGCAAGTAGATAAAAGTTAGTATTTTTACCTTCTAAAATATAGAAACTTTTATAATGCCCTAGAAAGACTTAAAATTGTTAAAATCAGGATAGAAGAGATAAATGGTTGATATGGTTGATACTAAGGGCAAGTTGAGGATAGAATTGGACTAAAAAATCCTCAGGATAGATTAGATTGATATCCAAGGATCGACCATTTGTGAGATGGGATTGAAATCAGAGCTTTGATCACTAAAACAATCGCCTAGAGAAAATTAAGGTTTTATTTGAAGATCAGAGATTAGGAATTGACAGCTAGCTTGAAGCTCTTTTTGGAATCATAAGGATTGTTTTTGCAGGATTTTTTAGGAACTTTGCAATTGTTGTTCAAAGTCAGGGTTTGTATTGGTGATTTGGATTTTATATAATATAATTAGGGCTAATAATTTTGACTAGTTTGTATAATTGTTTTAAGCTTCTATAATGTTCTTTAATACTACATTTACACACAATAATATAAAATGCACATTATTTTAAAATTAATCTATCATTCGTGTTGTGGTTTGGCATAAATTTTACTTAAATCTTTTTTTTTATCTATTAATCCCAAATTTAATGCAAAAATTGATGGTGGCTCTATTTAGCAGCTACATTAAGAATTTATATTAAGAATTTATAATGATTTAATAGATGGTAGTCATACTTGTTTTTTTAATAGAAAAATCTCTATTTGCCACAAATAAGTAAAATTTAGTTTTTTTTAAAAAAATCTATATTTGAAAAAATAATAGATTTTTATTTAATAATCAATTGTATCATATGGTTCATTTCACACAATCTCATAAATTCTAAACAGTCATATCTTAATAGCTTCAAGTAAAATTTTGTTGCAAATTTTACTAAATCTTAAGCAAATCCTAAACAAATCTTGCATTACAACTTTAATAACTCAATACAACTCTTCACACTAAATTCTACATCTCAATTTCAAATTTCTTCTTTCAAAATTCCAATAACTCTAAACAACATGTAAATAAACCTCATCAACTTTTGAATCCAAAACATATCATAACAAATTTCAAAATTCAAAAAATAATCATGTTAAATTGTAAGAACATTCCTCCATCAAATCAGAAGCACACACAAAGCCATCGCACATTCACACACGTGTAGAGAAAAACTATTCTGAGATGGGAAAATTTATAAAACTCCTTCCCTCTCCCAGGCGACATTCGTCTTCACAGCTCCAAAATTCATCCGCTCCGGTTGAAGTGCTTTCTACTCATCTGCGCCTCAGAATAAATAAGCTAAAAAAACGAAATACAGATTTCCATCAACTTTTTACTAAAGGTTTCAACGAATATTGCTATTATAAATGTGACAAATTAAACCTGACGAAACCAAATCGATATATCAACAATGTAACAACCGCTAACGATAAAAACTGGCAGCTTCCCATCCTCATCTGATGTTAAATCAATCCGAGCCATTGGCAAATCAACAGCCATCCACCCTAATATATTAAAAGTTCACAATAATCCAATCACAATGTCACACACAGCTAGACTGAAGTCTAGAACGGGGGATCGATTCACGGGCTAAATTTGGCTGCCAGGGATTGCAGTTCTTCTGTAAAGGTATGGCATTTGGCGGGTCCGACTTATTCGCGTGTGGGGAAACTGGGACTTGCGGTCACATTCAGAGAACACTTTGGCTTCCGGACACTGGACTTCTCGCAGATAAGCTCGTAGGCAACCAGGGGGTTCATGCACTGCATGCAAGTTGAGTCCCGCAATTTTTCACAAAAATAACATCAAAAGTGCAGAGACGGAAAGGGTGCCCTCAGCTGATGGGCTGAAGAACACGACACAGGTTGGGGGTTGACTTTGTACATAATCTCCTCAAGGTAACCACTTTTGCTTATCCCAAAAATAACGCGACATGACTGGTCTACAAGATAACCAGGAAAACTTCCATTTCTCTCAACGCGGACCGCAGACAAACACACCATCACGCACATGTAATGTTCATGTCCAATGAAGAGTCACGAAAAAAGGCACATGCTTCCGAAGTTAGTGCTCCTACGCGATTGGCAGACGTCGAGCACAGTTGGCAAGTATTGGATGGATCCATTCTTTCGACTTACTACATGTGAATGGAAAACACAACCAGCAATGTCTAGATTGACGTACAAAACAGAGCGGCTTATCTTTTCCAGTGAGTGAGTGAGTGATCCCATTAGCGTAGAGATTAACAGCTTGCTTGTTATGCAGCATCTTGAAGACGGTACCGTAAAGCGATTCGAGTGCAATTGCACAGTTGTGATAGTAGTCACATTCTGCGGTGCTATTTTTAATGTGTTTTAAGCTTCAAAACGTACCAAGCCATGGCCAAAAGCTTGGCCCGATCGACAGTCGGGAATACTTTACCTCGGCCCGATCCATCCCACCTTCGGTTACATGAACCGATGACTTCTAGACTACATTGAACAATGCAGATGCGTATGTACTATTGTCGACATCATAACACACATAAACACATGAGTATCTGTAACTATGCGTGGTGCTAACTGCAATGATAAAAGATCGGAATCACCGGACTGCGTCGGACTGCGCGATTCGTTCCATACCTACCTCGTCCTCAGTGAATTGCACTGTGATTGGCAGCAGGCTGTTCACGAATGGTGCACCGCGATCCCGTCGCTGGAGACGTCCCGAAACTCTGTCCTGCTCCAGGTACCTGAGATCAAGCGCGCGCTACGTGCATGCGCATGTGCATGTCCAACTTTCCTTCTCCCAAACTGCCCTGCACCAGCACAGCGATGAGTGTTGCCATCTTCCGACCTTTCCCTCCCAGACACACACACACACACACACGCCTACATCGCCCAGTCGGCGGCAACACCCATCACACGACCCATCTGCGTCTGCTGGGAACTCCAGCGAAAACCCGGATTCAACCAAACTTCCATTGAGAGGTGCATAGTGGTACAACCGTGAAGCTGCTTTGCTTCCACGGAGCTCGGCATTAGCGTCAAATCTACCATTCTGACGAGGCGCAAACCACATCCAGTCTGCGCACTCTCTTGTCAGCCTCTACACTGACTTCTACTCTACATCATTCCACTCCACGCCCGGCTCAATTCGTGGGAAAGAGAGGGAGTTGAATGCACTAGTCTACAAACACCGACGCCATCAGCGTCGAGGCGTCGCATTTTACAAGCTGCCACACTTCGTGTCGCTTACATCTCCATCCTGGCGCCACCCTGATACCTCAAGCGTTGGTGCGCATGCGGAAACCCCTTCCGGCGCTGCCGAAGGTTGGACGGTTGTTGTGTCCCTTCTGCACACGTCACACGTCCAGTGCATGCAGCCCGGCGTCAGATGCCAGAAAAGCCACCGTTCCAACGTTTCCAAAGAAGCAGGTAAAAGAAGATACAACAGAACAATCTAGCAGCACCCGCGGCCACCTTCCCTACCACCTGCACCTGGCAGAGATCACTCACCGGCACAGAAGCCCGGAGCTTAGCCAGCTGTTCCGCGGACGCCGTTTGAAACTGCCACCCAACAAGCGCAACATCGTCCCACGTATCAGTTCCCGGTACATTCATGAGCAACGCTTGTGAGCGGCTGCTCGCCTTGCATTTGGAAGGGCACCCGAAAGAACCACTGCGACGACGGAAAACCACAATCTCCCACATGCCGACATCTACAAGTCTCTCTGTCATGCCACGAACACTGGAGCAGAACCCACTTACGTTGAACAACGACAGAATCCAGGTGACACCCTCCGCGCATGGTGGGGTGGTGAGGGATCCCATGTAAGTGCCGTAGTTCCTCTCCGGCTTCATCATCTTGATGTGCCCCAAGTCGACCTTCACGCCTGGGCTATTTGACGATGGCACCTCATGTGCGAACTGCACACGTCACACCAGTTTCCGCATGGGGTCAGGCTTCGCCAAGGAGAATCGCGTTCGATAGCGCGCGCGACCTTCATAGCAAGATCTTCAGTGACACACGAGAGCACTACTCTGCACCGACCATAACGCAACGCAGATTCGCCAAAGCTACGCCACCCAAGCTTGGCAATTCGGCCTACCTCAGCATCAGCTGCCTGCCGTTTCCCCCCCTTCT